ATCCCTACTTTTGGTTAATCCTAAGTATAAATCAATATTCAATGGATCAGAAGATTCTCAAACTGTAGTAATTATCTTTCGGAGAACCATAATGAATGTATCGATCATTCACTTCACCAGCAAATACGCGAAAAAAAGCTGAATTGAATCTAATGAAAGAATCGAATATGAAGCCAAAAGAAGCAGTATAATGAACAGAAACTGAAAGAAGACCAACGGAACATACCTTCAAAAACTCATCCAAAAGAAATACGATAATTCTATAAAACTTACGTTGAAATGTGATAAAAAGTGAACACTGACAATATAAATAGAAAATCTATGAAAAAGCCAGTTGTAACTCTGCAATCGAACTCCGATATTCGATCACACTATTAATGCTCGAAACACTCACATTACTGATTTGGGGTCATCTATACAAATATGCAAATCACGGAGATGACGTCAATGATTCAATCCTACGATCATCAATCTGACGTAATTAATAATAGTGCATCCATGCATGATATTTTTTGTTGTATTATATGTTTATAGATCCTTGCCTTTCAAGCAAGGGAACAGACAAGAGTGCGCATTTCGTTATGAATATAACTTGTAAATAAGTAATTAAGCTTAACGCATGAAAAGGTATCTATTGTATACGCAATTTATTTGAGGTTATTCGGTATAGAAATAGGAAAAGATAAGTTAGATTACTACTCTAAAATACTCACTCGAACTTTTGAAGTTATAGAATTTCTATTTTAGAATACTATTCCATTGGCCTTAAGCTGAAAAGTTTGTTATAAAAAGAACAGGGTAAGAGTGTCATTTTCCTATTCATTTTAAATAAATTCATTTAAAATTGATTATCTCTTCTTTTATTTATTAAATATGGTATATAAAATATAGTATACAAGTATATAAAGTTAATTTTCTTTGTCCATATCATTATTAAATAGACTTTCAAGAAAGAGAAAAAAAAACAGAAGAAAAATGTATAAAAAGAAGAAAGTTTAACCACATTAGTGTATGAGCAGATGTAAAAAAAGACAAATTTTTCGAGTGTAATGTAACTAGAAATGATTAGATGAAAATATCATAGAAAATCAATCTATTTTTTTTCTGATTCTAATAAAAATCGAATCAATTTCTGATGTCAAGCAGTTTTTGAAATATTTTCAAACTTAGCGCCATCTACAAACAGAATTTTATTCATATCCACAGAACCATCTTTTATCAGAAACTAAACCAATGATTTTTTAAGTCAGAAAAATAAAATCAATTTTTTGTGAAAGTTTCATCCAATCATTCTGAATTTCCTCGAACTCCTAAAATAGCTACACTCTTTATCACAAGCTCATGGACTATATAATTATTCGCAATTAAGAACCAAATTACGTTCGAAACGTTGATGATCACATATTTTGTTATATATTTACATTTTATATAATTGTATATTATATTTTATATATTTGTATGTTATATTTTTGTATACCATATTTAATAAATAAAGGAACAGATAATTATTTTTAAATGAATTCTAGTCTTCTTAAAACGTCATGAATTTAAAATAAATTTAAATTAGTTTTTTTTTCATAATTTAGATATAAAAGTAAATATAAATTATCATAAGTTATATTTAATATAATTTCAATTTATGATAATTTTTATTATTTTTTAAATTTAAATTACTGATTATTTAATTTATGCATAAATTAAAAGTAAATATAAATTGATACTCCACTACATCAGATCTTTCAATTGAGTCTATGAAGAGTTATAGATCGAACACTGTTCACGTATCTCAGAATATATTGCTTTCACTCTCATTTTCGAGAGTATTCGTATTTTTCGATTCGCATAAGAAAAGTTAGGTTTTTGAACATTAGGAACAGAGCCTATCAAGGTAGCACGATACTATAATTCTGAGGATATTTTCAGAAAGTGCATCAAAAATTGCATCGATTCACATAAAAATATAAGTAAAATAATTTTCGCTTCACTTTTGAAGAAAATTGAAAGATGATAAAGCACTACTAGAAGGACTCATAGTTTTTGACAGCATTTGTCATGACATCCACAATATCGTCCGATATAAATTACAGCTTTTTTATATCAATATCTTAGAAGATACTTGACGTTGTGAAGTCTCTAAAATCAAAATATTAGATCTTTCTAATTTATCTATCAAACATCAACGATTTTATACTGTAACCATCATCGAGACATTGATTATAAGGAATTCAATAGAACAGTCTAAACTAGACATTGACACAATGAAACATAATTTTTCCAATCTAAATATACAATTTTGTGGAGCTAACCAAGAGATATAAAATACATTATTTGAGTTATACATCTGATTGAAATACAATGAGAAAAAAATGACTCCTTTCCTAGGGATACTCGACGTACATTCGTACATTGGATATAGATATCTCGTCAAGGTTCTGTCCATTAGCTCTTAGAACTTGATTACAGATACAGTTTTCGTTACGCTTTCATATCACAGTATCAGAATTTCAAAACATCATCACATGATGTAGAAAGTTTTGTAAATATGCTAAATATAAAAACTAAAGGATTTCGAATATGAAACTTTATGATTCTGAACATTAAAGATTGTAATACATGAGAAGTTGGCCCACTCGTAAGATCTTCAATCTTCGACGCTACTTTCATAATGAACTAGACAAGTATAAAAAAATCCTAAATTATAGGTCTAACAACTCGTCAGTGCGGTCCACTGTAATCTCTGTAACTCCATCAAAATGCAATATATTCGTGGGAAATTTTTAAGATAGTCATATATATTCTAATGAGCTAATGTTAACATTAGTCAGAATCCTACTTCA